ACAATGTTAGCATTTTGTGTCATCTAAACGTTCAAATTTTAAGTTGTGTTTTCCTTTTTCTTTTTCTTTTTTTTTTTTTTTTTCTTCTTTTATTTTTAGTATGTTATATGGGTGCGCGGCAGAATATGTTCTTCTAGTTATTTCTGTATTAGCTGTGTTTAAAAAACTTGTACTACTGTGTACTCATGACTGTTTCATAAACTGTCAAATAAAACCTAACCTAAATATAAAAAGAAAAATAATTCGGTTTTATCGTCTTGTATGAATAATGTGTCATAAAACAAAGAAGAGTAGAAAGAACATATCTGAGCTGAATCGAGTCATGTTTCCACATTTCTCTTTCCACATTGAAAATAAAAACCTGAAAAAAGAATGACGTTCTCTTCTTTGTTTATGAAACATTAGTCACACAGGACGAAAAAAAATAATCATTCTTTTCATTCTAAACTCGTATATAAACTGACATGTACCTGAAAGTATCTGCACAGACATAGTCGGCTAAATACTGTTACTTATCATCCAAAAAATGCTTCGTGTTAAACTTGACGCATCTGTCAAAGATCAAAAATATGTGGCATTAAAGTCGGTTTCAGTCGACTCGAAAATTCGTTCATTTTGTGCTGATGTAAGTATTACTCAACTATTTCGAAATGATGAAAAACAGCCGATCGAAGCTGTATACTGTTTTCCAATCGAAGAAAACGCTGCTATCTACTCATTTGTGGCAAAAGTCGATGATCTAGAAATTCGCGCTCGGTTGAAAGAAAAAGTTCAAGCACAGCAAGAGTACTCGCAAGCCTTGCAGCAAGGGCATGGCGCTTATCTCCTCGAACAAGACCAAAACTCACAAGACATGTTCATTATTAATGTGGGAGCTCTTCTTCCAGAGAAAGAATGTCAGATACAGATCAGATATGTGTCCGAGTTAGATCTCTTTAGCGGAAATAAAATTCGTTTCGTTGTGCCGACGACAATTGCACCACGATTCAATCCGTCAGTCGGTGGTATTTCATCTCCTGCAGGTACACAAACAAAATACGTTCAATCAACGCCGTACACAATCGATTTCCGGTGTCAAGTCGATAAACTCAATGAACAAATAACGAGTATTTCATCGCCTTCACATCCAGTTACAGTTAAATTGCACCAAAGCAATTATGAAATTACATTTGGTCAAAAGAATACGTTCATGGATCGAGACATCATTGTAGACATTGAACTCTCAACTCGAACAAATACAATTTTAGCTGTTGAGAAGAGCAGCGAACACCAAATAGCCTTAATGGCATCATTCACACCCACAAAGCAAGATTGTAAAAGAGCGTTAAATGTTGGGAAGGAAAACAGCGATGTGAATAATGAATTTATTTTTATTGTCGACTGTAGCGGGTCGATGAGCGACCAAAACAAAATCGGTCTCGCCCGTGAAGCCATGATCTTGTTTCTCAAGAGTTTACCGGTTAACTGTCGATTCAACATTATCCGATTCGGATCCGATTATAAAACATTGTTCAACAATGTTACTGACATTTATAATGAACAGAACGCACGACAAGCCGAACAACTTATTTCACAAATGTTGGCTGATTTGGGTGGAACTGAACTGTTGAGACCGCTGCAATGGTTGGAAAAACAAGTACCCGTCGCTGGTCATTCACGACAGATATTGCTGCTGACTGATGGAGAAATATCGAATGTTATCGAAGTAATGGATTTGTGTCGATCAATGTCAACATCAACAAGAATCTTTTCATTTGGCCTTGGTCATTCACCGAGTCGATCGTTGATTAAAGGTCTCGCTCGTTCGACAAACGGTCGGTTCACGTTCATTTCCCCAGGAACAAGTGTCGACGTTCACGTTGCTGAACAACTTCAGAAAGTTCTTGAACCTTGCATTACTAATGTCAAAGTCAAATGGAATATTCCATCATTATCGTCCAATCCTCAATCTGTTCCAACAGTTGCTCCACCTGTTTATGCTAATGACCGTCTTCTCTTCTATGCCCTAGTCGAGAGCGACACATTTGATCATTCAACAACTGTCGAACTGTGGAACCACGAAGAAACGGTTCGTCTCGGCTTAGCTAGAATTGATCATGTGCCTGAGAATACTGGTAGTAATGACCAATTAATAACACATCTAGCAGCTAAGGCTCTTATTCAAGAAATAACACATTCAAAACAAGCTCTGTCTACAGGATCTCAACAAAAAAGATTTCGAAAGATAGCAAATCAACAACAGCCGAAAGAGGATGATAATAAAAAACGCGCAATCGAAATTTCGTTGAAATATAATATTCTCTGCCCGCACACAGCCTTTATCGGCGTTGAAACACGTACAGATCCATCATCCAGAAATCTGAACGCGAACATGGTGTTAAGGGAAATTCCAATTGAAATATCAGCGGATGACAAAGCAGTTACTGGATTACATTACCAGTATCCACAGTTCTTGCAACCTTATTACCTTCCAAATCAAAATCTAGTATTAGCGACACCGAATGGAAAAAGCAGTTGCTTTTCATTTGCTACATCAGTACCACCACCACCACCACCATCATTGTTTTCATTTAATTCATCTTACCGTTCTCCACCGCATTACCAGCAGGCTTTTTGTCAAACAGTTAATACATCTAATAACTGTCAGCGGAACAATTTTAGTGCCTGTCAGTCACAGAACGAAGCATATTCGCCAAGTGTACTTCATCTACCAATGCAGAATGGCCGCTGTGTGTTTCCTAATTTTGCACCAACAACAGCATCCAGCTCAAGCCTGCCTGGTTCTTTGGCCTCTTCTGCAACTATTTCCGTACCTTCAGAGAATGCATTATTCTCTTTTCCAGCTACAAATACTGTGGACACAGGACCTTCGTTATCGTCCCTGATGACAGAACAGAAAATGTGGCCATTAAATGATCAGGATATCGTTCGGCACTTGATTAACTTGCAAAAATTTGATGGACTTTGGAATTTGAGCGGCGATGATATTCAGAATCTTTGTCAGAAGCCATTAACATCATTTCATTCTAATCTGAGTAACGATTCGACTATCTTAACGTCTACTATTGCCATTGTCGTTTTGGAAACCAAATTCAATTCCTTCAGGACAATGTGGTCATTTATAGTTAACAAAGGAAAGAAACGTTTAATGGAACTGCTTGGTGATACTGGAAAACTTGAACAACTAATAAATGACATCAAAAATCAACTCTGATTTTCTCGCTTGTTTTTTGCTTATTTTCAGTCTAGATTTTGTTTTTTCTCAATACCATTCATGAAAGAAGACTAACTACTATCGTTCCCAAAATACAATGCACTCTGTGGTATATATCGTTTAAAGGAAAAACGATTGCGACCTGCGGTTGCGACACATTAGTTCATAATAAAACCCTGGGCAATCTTTCTATGAAAGGAAAATATTAAGACTTCTGGGACTTCTTTATACAATTGACGAAAAGCAAATGATGGATTAAAAAATCAAATTTCTTTTTCACGAACTCACATATTTTGTTCTTTTTTACTTGGTTCTCTTTCTGCGGCAACCGATACATTTCCTGATTTAAACCACTATCATAATCTTGTTCGTCACTAATCATTAGAGATCACAAGCAGAGTAAGAGGAAGTTTCCAGTTCTTATCTTACTGTGTTTACAACTTCTTCCTTCAGCAAACAAAATATCTGGAACTTTTGAAAGAAGCTCCATGGACAAAACTTCCTAGCATCATACCGTCTACATGCAACTTATGAATATGTTCCTAAGTTAGTTTTAAGTAAAATACGCTATCTTTTCACTTTTTTAAGTTACTTCTCAACTTATTTATGGTTCATAAAGTACAACTAAGCAAGTTGTGTAGAACTTGAAAAGAAAATTAAGTAAAAGGTGTTTGAATAATAAAACGAATTCTAGGTTTTTGGACTCTATGAGGAGTGAGAACTTACAGAGAGCGTTTGTACACAAAGAATATTTTTTTAGAAACAACCGCTAATACAACTGTAACAGTAAATGTATATAAACGGGAGTAGAATTTATACAAACTTAATGACCAGAACAGCAGTATTAGAACGGTTTGAAAACAGACTACAAAAAAGGATATAATTTGTTCTTTAAACAAAAGAAACACTTGATTATACACACGAAACAAACGTAGAACATTAGATTTAGTTTTGCAGTTTTGTTCCAGTCTCTACATGTAAATGAAATTCTACTGTTAAAATTGAAAACAACGGTCTCAGTTGTGTTTTCGATAACTGAGGATCAAAAAGTGATACAGGCTACTTGGTGAGTTTTTCCGTTTTTAGTCGTCAGGTGCACGTCAGGTACACCACCTGGAAATGTGATAATTTCAAAAACCTCCATATATGAGACGCAATCACGTCTCCTCTAAAACATGATGCAAACCGACTCAGCCTGATCGATTACCTATAGTCCATTAGCTTTCAAGGCTATCAATAGTCACCAGGTACCAGCCGTGGGACTCGCAGGGCATCCTGTACAACGCCAGACCCGTAGAAAGCCTTGGCCTCGTTTGACTCCCATTTTCAAGAGCACATCCCGGGCTATCAGCCTTGAAAAAGAACATAATCCTATTGATTTACCAAAACTTCTAACTGCTAAACGTGATTATACGATCAAAAACATCGAAAAATCATATTTTTTTTAATGGATTTTCCAGAACCCTTTCGGAAAGCCGTAGAATTCTATAAAATATCTTTCTTTATCTCCAGTAAATAGGATATGAAATAGCCTAAATGCTTTACACACTGAAGTTTTCACCTCGTTCCAATGTATTTTGAGTGAATAGTGAATTTTAATATTATGTGAAAACAGCCTGAAAACTGTAATTTTCGCTAGATTTTTAGAACTTTTTGTAAAAGCAGATATTGCCACGAGACTCAGCATGATCGATTACCTATAGTCCATTAGCTTTCAAGGCTATCAATAGTCACCAGGTACCAGTCATGGGACTCGCAGGACATCCTGTACAACGCCAGACCCGTAGAAAATGTAGGTCTTGCTTTACTCCCATTTTCAAGAGCACATCCTGGGCTATCAGCCTATGAAAAAAAACATAATCATAACCCTATTGGAAAATATTTACACACATCCTGGTTTTCCACAGATCTCCTAAAAAGCTTGTTCAGAAAACTTTTCTGAATATATTTCTGCTTGTGGAAACATGTCTCCAAGTCTTCTCTTTGCATGGTGAGAACCGAAGCTCTCTGGCTACTTTCTACCAAAGGTTATTCAAAAAATATCCACTGCTCTTGTATAATGAAATGGTTATCAGGCGCACACACAGGAGAGATAGTAGGTGGTCGAAATGGCGGAGGAAGTGCAGCAAATCAACTCGATGGTTGTAGAGGTATTTTTGTAGATGAATTTAATAGTGAAGAGGCAATATTTATTTCTGATGCCTACAACCAGAGAATTCGAAAATGGTTAGCAAATCAAAAACAGGAATAACTGTTGCCGGTGGCAATGGTCAAGGTTCAAATTTAAATGAATTTTATTCACCATGGAATATCTTTGTTGATTCGAATGGTATTATGTATGTATCGAATTATTTGAATTATAGGGGAATAAAATGATTACCTGATGCCACAGAGGGTGAATTGATTGCTGTTGCACCGTTCATAATACCACGTTCTTATGTTCAGAAGTGTCCACCAGCACACGTCTGATCCTGTACGCTTTTTATGACTATTCCCCGGTCGCTATGGAGGTGGTAGTGGTCCAAATCAACTTAATGCTCCCCTAGGTTTTGTATTTGATTCAAATTGGAATTTAATTGTAGTTGAGGCCTGGACTAACAGAGTTCAAAAGTTTACTTTCAATGAATCATCGTGTGGTTTATAATTCAAGAAAAAGTTTCATTATAATCTATAGCAGATTGCCTAATTCCTTTTTTCAATCTGCTTGTATTATTCACTATTGCGATCTTATTGTATTTAATAAATTTCAGAACCTATAGTTTCAGAATTCTGACGGTTTCTTTTTGTCAGCGTGTGAAGGAATTAGTGCTGAATAAAAAATGGAGAGCAAAAACTTCAGCCTCAGCTCGATCACTTCGTCATTTCTGAGAAAAACGTTGCAAAGTGCTCGAGTGTAAGCCATGTAAATCAAGACTTGGAAGTGGTCTCTGGATCCTGCGCCAATGTTTAAAACTTTTGTAAATCTCATATTCTTGTCCAGAACTGAGTTCTTTTTCGAATGAGTTATGCCGCGACCCTTGCGACAAATGTTCCTGTAATGTTAGTACAACACTGAAAGAAAGAAGAATTACTCAAAACATGTTTCAAAATAACAAGTATAGTCTTAAAAATACTAGTGCTACGTCTGCACAAATCATACAGTCCACACATAAACACTCCTGTAGAAAGAAGGGATATATAATAAATGTTACAGAGCATCACATCCACAGTTTATGGCACTTATTTATCAATCAGAGTGTTTAAAAAACTCATGACATTGTATTATAGTTAATTGAGAAATATAGTCGGTAGAGTGTATATGATGACTCATCGGTTTAATTACTGGCGTAGCTAGCAACGATCACTACAACTCAAAAAAATTTCTAATACCAAAAATTGAGTCACTTAAATTATTTCCGTTTTATTTTGACCTTCATTTCTTTAAAAAAACTATACTCAATTACAAGTCAGTGAGTATGAAAGAAGATCACAATGGCTGCAGTCAAATGCACAGATAAAATCAGCCATAGCGAGTGTTCATTTCCGCAGCAGCTTGAAGAACCGTAAGACGCAAAATTATTTTGTTTCTCTATGTGCTCAGATTTTGAAGATAATCTTTTATTGTTATTATCATTTCAATATAAGAATACGAGCTCAGAATATTTTTTTCTTCAGATTTTAGCTATTTGGCCAATAGGGATTCACTAGCTATTAAATCTTTGAAGGAAGCATAATTTCTTACACAGTAGAGTGACTAATAGCGGTCACTCTATCTGTTCTATCACTCAGATGTAATCGTCAGTTAAGACAATGTATAAATAATCATGTGTTTATTTTATTGTTATGCATCGGTTTTCTCTATGTCACTACTGCATTATCGATGACTCAATAATATCTGTACAATATCTAATATCCGACATTTATTGTTCTTTTGCAATTTTTATCATTATTCATTATCTATAACCAACGGTTATTTGATGGCTTTTGTATGCATTTAAAGACATCTTTTAATATTTAATGTTAAGCACATGCGACTAAAGCATAAAAAGTTTCTTTATCATTATTTCCCAATAGCATTAGGCATCGTTTATCTAGTTTTATTTTATATTTACTATTATGTATTTGTATCAATGGGAAAATTACTATGATTATACTCAAATATTATGCTCGGCACCTTGGTATATCATTTCTAACAGTGTACTGCCAACTGTTGATGCTATCATGAATGCCCTTGTACCATTCATTGCCATTATATATGTGCTGAATCATTCAGGTGTTCATGAAATGCACCGACAGGTGTAAATGATTGTTGCTATTTTGTTTCTTTTCTCGGCAGTGGATCAAGGTATAGTGAAGAAAACGAAAACCTCAATAGACAAGCAATGATAGGCAATCGACTTTGATATGTTTCTTAAAGTAATGCTAACTCTTGATTTCGACAGTGTTTCTCATGAATCCAATCCATGTAAATTTGTTTAAATGATTTCGATGACAGTCGTGTAGACACTACATTTTAAGAAAATACAAAAAAATCCTTTATAGCACAAATCACAGACCGAAACAAATCGGGTCAAGTCAAATGGTAAAAAATATCCTTGTAAGCGTAGTCCTGCGGCCTAAAGATAAAACTTCTTCCATTACTTGACTAAACCAAATATTCATGCAAATTATTCATTTTTGAGCTAAATTCTGAACTATAGATCAAAAACTCATTTTTTTAACAACGAAAAAAATGAGCAATCAAATAACAACTCCAACAAGAAAACCCACGGTTGCATTTGGATTTTCAAATCTCATCTTGATCTGTAATCATTTTAAATGCCCAACAAAGTAATGCAACATTGGCTAAATCGTTGACAGATAGATAATAAACAAAATATGCGAAATAAAAGTAAATTGAATAGTGAAATCATAACTAAAACTGAAAACATGTAACTTTTGAATGCTCTCCCTGACATTGAAACAAAAAAAACAAGATAAAAACCTGAGCTTTTAAATATTTTCCAATAAAGCGGTTCCCTTTAGGCATGCATCAATTGATAACCGATGTGAGAGCAGTTAATAAAAAGTTACTCGGAAGTACAGAATGTCTCATCTTATAGAAAAATGTTTGCCCTGCCAAACTAAAGTACTAGAAAAATGTTAATATTATCTATGACAGAAATATAAGCATGCAAAATTGGGGAAAAAAAATCATTTATCTATTATTTTTCTGAGATTTTAGTGTGTTTTCGATTTCAGTAGGAAAAAAACCGTCGAATGACTAGTTTTTTAGGAGATATAAGTATTTTTCAATAAGGATACTCCCGTATTTCAGAGCTCCGTCTATAACAGTACGAAAAAGGTTAGAAAGAAATTAGCAGCATCAAGCCGGACGATGATAAAAGATATTCAAAACATCGTGCGTTTTTGCTTTTTATTTTATAGAGTCGGTTTGTTCGTTTTTCTTTGTTTGTTTGATCTCCCCATCTATGTTTGCAAAGTTGTGCTCCCTCGCTGAGAAAAATCGAAATTCTGATCCTAATTCACAATTTTTTCCGTCAGAACTCAACTTTTACGCAATAAAAATATCATATTTGGCAGCAGCGTCGAAACTGGAGTCGATTGATGTACTTTTTTTATCCTATTCGATCATTTTAATTTCTTTTAATTTTCACGTCGAATAATTAATTACTAAGACAACACAAAATTTCAAAACATATATCATTCGACTCGATTTCCGGCGCTGATTCCAAATATGATATTTTCATTGCGTAAAAGTTGAGTTCTGATGGAGAAAATCCCGATTTTCCCAGTAAAGTCGACTTTTCTCAGGGAGCGAGCGAACAAAATTTTACAAAACCGTCACGTACTTTTATTGCTCGTGAATTGATAATTCGAATGATATATGAAAGTTGGGAAGATCTCTTGATGCAAAAAATGAGGTACGTTTGTCGGATCTAGGAGGCAGTGTGGCCCCAACCGGACCTATTCGAACTTGCTGAGCGAGAGAAATGTGTGTAAAGTTCACTCAAAGCCACATGGCTGTACTCCGTTTCTAATGCTGAATTTGAATAAATTAGTTTCAACAATGTAGAACGGACGCAAACAGGCGAAATCTTGATTTTTCTCTAAATTAGTCAAAATTTCATTTTTAGAGGGGTACCTTGTATTTTCAAGATTTCTCACCCAAAACGTGGTTTTAAATATTATATTCTTAATCTAGTCGTCGAGCTCTATCCAACCATGTATGGCTCGATCAAATCAAATTTCTGCTCCTCGTTTACATTTCCGGCACCGTACACATTTTTGTACAGGTCCATCCAGAAAAAATACAAGACAAAATTTTCTTGCTCCAGTTTTTTTATAAGTTCCTTTTGGAAATTGCAGTTCTGAAAGAATTATGTTGTTTTAAGGACGTTTGCTTGTATAATGTTAACGAGAACAACAACAACAACAACACTAGAAATATAAAGGTTGTTGCGTCGAATACGACTTATTGATCAATGTCAGAAAGAAAAAGAAAAAATAAATACAAAACATATGGATACATGGAGGAAAGAAATAGAAGGACAAAGAGTATCGTTCGCCTAAAGCATTTCACTATGATGATAATTATTGTTTCTCTATTTATAGTATATAACGCAAAAATTCGTTCCGTCTTTTTTGGGTCATATTTACATTCTTGTTTGAGCATAGAAAGGCAAGAAAGAAAAGAAGTAAAACATCTAAGGAAAAGTAAGACAAATACAACAGCAAAAAGTAGTACGATTAGTCTATCACTGCCATTCATTTCGCTCATAAAAGTCGACGTAACCTAAACGCGAACAACGAAGTAATGCTTTCCTCACCTTATTCCGATTCCGATCATCTTCTAGACTTGTCTTCATTGATCAGTTCAAATTCAAGACTTTTGGCTGTGGCTCTCACCAACCTGCGTACTGTTCGATCTGATTATGCTGTAGCCGATTATCAATCATCTTTTAATTGGTCTGAAATCGTGTCATTACTCGAGCCTAACTTCAATGATGATGACGACAATGAATTCTACATAGTAGCATTTCGCTCTCAACTTAAATCTAATATTACATCGTCTGAGTTAAAACACCTCTATAGTCTTGATAAATATTCTCACAAAGAAGCTAATGCATCCGGTGGATTACTCAAATATTGGTTTGGTATACCACGTTTGGAAGATCGTCGAAATTTAGCAACTTGTATTTGGACGAATAGAGATTCAGCTGTAAAAGTAGTTAGAGGAGAAAACCGACAACAACCACATGTTGAAGCAATGAGAATCACAAGTAAAATGTATGATGAATGGAAAATGGAAAGATATATAATAAAGATTGGCAGTGTCAATAAAGATGGAATAAGAACATGGACAATTAAACCGTTTGAAGAACAATGATAAATTTACATTAAGAGATCATGTTCTTCAGGTTTTAATAATTTTCTGATCCGTATGATTAATAGCGATATTAGCCTCACATTATTACTGATACAACACAAAGGAAGATTTAAGATAGTGCAGCAGTCTACATTATCCATCCCAAAATGTTCTCCATAAAACAACAAATTCTACAGAACTGAAGTATTATATTTAAAAGGAAAAAAAAATGAATGGTAGAAACTCACTTTCAAATGGCTAACAACACAAAGAGAGAAAGAGAAACAAACAGTTATTCGAATGATGGATATCAAGTTTCAAGCGCAAAAAGAAAGAAAAATCTTTTATATGATTTCGTTTTCTATCTGTTCTTAGTCTTTCATGCAGGAATAGGATGTATTTATTATGGTTTGTTGTATTATTTATCACTGTAATTAAATATAAACCATGTTCTGGATTTCGTGTTGTTCTCATTGTAATTTGATTAAATTTTAGTCTTGTTTGGAGTGTTCTTAAAATATATACAAGTCGACTTAGTTTTTGATCCTGATTCTGAATCATCTTGTGTAGAAGTAATTTTTCTACTAAATGTGACATAAAAGCGCTTCGTAATTTTAGAATGGCTTTGAAAATTTAAAAATACTTTAAAATTTCACGTTTTTAAACAGTTCAAGAATTTTGAAATTTTAATTTTAAAGTGATATAGAAAGTTGTTTTAATCACCAAATATAATACAACCATTTTGGAGTTTTCCCAAAAGGGTCGCCAAGTCAAAAAGCATCTTCACTAGGGAAAATTGAGTTGAAGAGTAATATGTTTTTCTTTTGCTATGGTTCCCTTAACGCAAGAACTATAAAAAGAATAAATCAAATCAACAATATCACAGGGAATTCGATGTTGTTTTCAATGCATGATAATAATAAATCAAACATTCAATGTTGTCATGCAATATAACATGAAGGTCATTTTGAAACAAAAAAAACAATCGGTCTCTCAAAAGAATAGAATTACTAATGGTAAGTATGTTTACAAAGAACAGAAAAATGCTTCGTTTTTTCTTAATGTTACACATCAAGATGTAATTTTTGTTAGGTAGTACAGAATAAGTGTATGTGTACATGTACATGTACTACGAAACTTGTGTAATGTCTGTTGGCCTTCTTTTTTCTTCGTTTCTTCTGTTGTTACAAGAAAAAAGAAAAAAGAAGTTGGGTCCCATTATCTAATCAGAGCGTATTGCGCTTTCTCAAGCATGAAATTTCATAAGAAATAAGCTAACTACTCTTGCTGAAGAAGCACCCGTTTCTCCATTGGTTGGAGCTAGCTAAAAAAAGAGTAAAATCTAGCAGGTGTAGCTAGCTGCAGCACTACAAACCCACTTCAGTACTAGTTGCAGTATAGATACTAGTTGCATATATATAGATGAAAAAACTGAAGCACAGTAAACGAAAAAGAAGTTCCTGCAAAGATTCGAACTGTGTATATAAAGATTAATAATCTTCTCCCTATGCTACTCTTTAAACGAAAAGGTGCATTATCGAACTTTTTCTGCTGGAAAAATAAAAACGTATATAGATGGTGACAAATATTTAAACGTTTTGTACTACGAGATGTTCAAAAAGGTTTCGTAAACAGGAAGGAACCTTAGAAAGGCTCTATAGTTGAAACAAGGTTTTGTACTGGATTATCCCGTCTTCATAAATTCAGTTTCATAAATCACACATTTATTAAACTTTTTAAAAATTTCATAAAATTTTTCATTTTTATGTAAAAGTTTCCTAAATTTTATGAAACTTGTTTCCAAGTTGCATAAATATGTGATTCATGTTGTTGCAGGTTTAATTAATTAGTTCCTCAGTTAACTGTAGTATTAATGTGTTACACAGAGACATATAACTTAGGGAAGCCGTTCAAACTATGAACGAATCAATCGGATCATTTGTAGAATAATGTGAAGCGCTCCTCTGTGATATTTGTATAAGAGAGAAAATATATAAAATCTATCTTTTCTTATCCATTTTATTCATTTTTTCCAATAGATTACTTTTTATCAACTCTTAAATATAACACGTCAAAGAACCAGAACTGGGCAGCTCTGATTCCTCCCGGCTCCGGCTCCTCTCCTACTGTTTTTACATCCGGCTCTGACTCCGACTCCAAAAAAAATGTTCATCTTTCCTTGTTGGAAAAATACAAAACAATAATACAAATGAAAACAAATGAAAACAAACGAATAGCAAACGAAAAATGTCTAATGTAGAAGATCAGAGTTGCACTTGAGAAATGTTAATTTCGCCAACATTTCTTTTGTAAGTGTTCCTCTGTGTGGTCGCATTACGAAACCGTTGGTAGAAAATACGAGTTCAACAGGCGCTGATGTTGCAGGCACACACAAAAGTCGAAGAGCAAGCGAATTCAGATATGGATAGTCAACAACCAGGTTGTACGATGATATAGAGAAAATAAAAAATGAAAATAATAGTCAAGGTCTGTTTCGAGACCAAAAAAACGAGAGAGAAAGAAAAGAACAAAGAAAAGAGAAAGAAACATATTATTGTTTCTTCTGAAAATCGTTTTGAAGTACAAATCTATAACTGCATGATATATATACATAAAAATCTTCTTTCGAAAGCCTTACATTTAATAGAAGAAGGTCAAGACTGACGTTTCACTTTGAAGCTTCGAAATATTTTTCTTCTGATTCCGCATCAAAAAAAATAAAATTTTAAAATGTATTTTACGAGCTAGTAGCCTAGAACTTGGCCTGACAGCAGACTACAGTACAACTTAGTTCACCTTCCAACTTCAAAGAAAACGATCCCTTTTAGTTTTTGAGATATCTAGCTCTCAATATTGGTGATCAACGTTTAACAAATCATACTTCTTTTATATGCACCAGCTAGATAAACTTTTGACTATCATGACTTTTCGGCTTTCCCTTCTGGTCATGATAATTACAGATAATGTGTGTTCAAACTTTACTTATGCAGTGAATAATCACATAAAATAAAATAAAGTAGAAATGAAAAATATCAAAACAAGATTAAATCAAAATCAGATTTTTCTTTGCGATTTTTGTATATTTGGAATCAGTATAATCGATTGCGTGGTACAGCATGGTCGTGTATATAGAACGATATTGCAATTTGAAGAACAAAATAAGGAAAGGCAAAATTTTATATTCTTACTGAACTTATTCTATATTCTGCAACTTCGCGACTTAAAACTACAATAAGTAGAGAGGAGCCTTTTCCACTTCTTATACTGATCTGAAATAAACAATTTGTACTATATATTGAGATATATTCCACAAAAAGCTTCGTTTTAGTTTTTAAGATATAGAGCTATTAATTTCACAGATTAAAGTTAGTAGTGTGTATGGACTTCAGTTTGATTTTAGGATTCCAGGAATCTGGAATGCTGACTACATAGCAAATCAGGCTGATTTTTTGGGGGGCGGTTTAGCGAAAAAGAGCATACACATTCTGATTCGTTTTTGTATGTAGATTCCAAATCTGATGTTTGTTTTCTGGTGGAACGTCTAGTTTTTGAAAAAGTAGCGAAAAACCGTTTTTACGTTGAAATTAGGAGTTTTTCTCTTTTTTTCTCTCTCTCTCTTTCTTTCTTTCTGTTCGTTTCACCATTTTCATGATGAACGGAGAGAACGAGGAAGCGCATATTCATCTATATCTTCTACAGTTATTTTCTTCAAACATCGACACAAAAAACAAGTTTGGTAACTATAAGCGAAAATTGCTAATTGCTGCTTTCAGGACAAAGCAAGCATAAATGTTCGTATTGCACAGCTTCAAATGGCCGAATTTAGAAAATACTTGTTCCGACCAGGAGTGTCAGAACATTGAATCAACAACACCAAGTAATTAGTGTTGCCGATACCGGGCTCTGGATATTAGCACGAACCTCTTTTCCGTACAAAACTACAGTGAGTTCAACTAGTCCGGTCAGTTCAAACGATGCTAGTGTGGAAATATACTCATCATTTTATTATTATACTAAGCATTATCGAGTCGGTTATACTTGCGCTGGTTTGGAACAAAACAGTATATGTATTCTGATCCAGTTTCTTACGTAGATTCCGAATCCGGCGCCTGTTTTTAGGTGCAAAATCTAGTTTTCGAGAAATAGAGGAAAAACTGGTTTTACATGGAAATTAACGCCTTTTATTAGTTTCTCACTTATTTTTTCGTTCGGAATATATATGTTTTTCTTTTCACTTTCTCTTTTCGTATTTTATTCTGGTGAACAAACAGAAGGAAAAAAAGAATATCGATCTATAGCTTGTAACGAGCACTGCTGTTATTTAGTATACTGTTGAAAACTGAATCGATATAAAATATCAATTTTATTGAATCCGAGAGAAAAAAGAAAGACTGATAATACGAAACACTACAATTACTTGTATACAAATGATTTGTATGCGCGTGGTACAAAAAGTAGATTGTTGACTCCTTTTTCGTAGTAGACAACGTCGTTACATCAGCAACTTGAACTTTTTTCTTCCTAAATTGATCACATTCTTTGACAAAAGGGCTTGCTGCCCTAGTCGAGACTCCCGCCAAACTCCCACGGGACTCCTGTCACGGGGGCCTGCGGGATCCTGAAGGATCCTGTAAGAGTCAGGTGGGACTTTCAGGGGATTTCTCAGGACTCCTGAAGACTCCCGTGGGACTTTGAGTATTCTGAGGACTTTCGTTGGACTCCCGCAGGACTCGAAATCTCCACAGAAGTCCCATGGGAGTCTTCAGGAGTCCTGAGAAATCCCCTGAAAGTCCCACCTGACTCCTACAGGATCCTCCAGGACCCCGTGACAGGAGTCCCGTGGGAGTTTTGCCGGGAGTCTCGACTAGGGTGACTCTCTCTTCGAGATGTGTGAGTCGTCTTGCAAATTGGTTGTTCAATTGTTTCGTCATACTAGGCAAATGATTTGTTAAAGTCTAGAGAAAAAAATATCCATGTCTATGTAAATGAGATATATACTCAAATAAAATAGAACCAAAGAG